CGCCTGGGTGCAGGAGCAGGATGCTGGGCAGGGGGGTGAGCGGAGCTGCGTTTGTCAGTGCTGGGAAAGAGCTGTAGGTGACCTTCTGCATGGAAGTAGCATCCCAGCCAGTTCCTTAAATGCCCTGAGTCTGTGCGCTCCGCGCCGGACACCCTCAGCCCCACAGGGATGCTGCCCCAGCGCTGTGGGGGCAGTGCAGGGGATGGGGACAGGAAGACAGGGATAGCCATAGTGGTTACCGACAGCCACCACCGGTCCCACAAGGGATGCAGGACAGGTGTGGGAGGCCGGCATGGTGCGGTGCTGGGAAACCCCCAGCAGCATTTGCCAGCCAGAGTGATTGCACGAGCTGCCTTCTCTGGCCTTGGGATGAAAACGGGCCCCTCCACGCTCTGGGATGGCGTGTCCAGCAGTGCGGAGCACGGAGCCAGGACTGCGGAGCCAGGCAGGGCTGTGTCCCGGTCAGGTTGGCTTTGCAAGAGGCCCCGGCTCCAGGCAGGGGAGCGATGAAGGCTGTCGGAGTTGCTGGTCCTGCTCTGCAGCCCGGCTCCGGCTCCTGCCATCGGGGATGGTCCATAAGCTGCAGGCCAGAGCGAAAGGGAGGAGGTTGTGCCACTAGACAGAGACGGAGCCAGGCGGCTGGCTGTTGCTGTTGCTCTCGGAGGGGGTCTTGGCAGTGGAGGAGGTGGCCATGGAGCCGCTGTTCCTGAAGATGCGGAGCAGCCTCCGCTTGTAGCCCCGGAAGGCGAAGAAGTAGATGATGGGGTCGATGCAGCAGTTGAGGTTCATGAATGCCACGGTGACTTGCAGGGACATCTTGAAGGCTTGCTGCTCGCGGCAGGATGGCTGGTAAAGGATCTTCCTGACCATGAACTGGACAATGTTGAGGTGGTAGGGGCTGAAGCAGAGAAGGACAGCCAGCAATACCACCAGGATGACAGTGAAGGCCCGGCGGTGGTGCCCGTTCTTCACCGTCAGTGGGTTCTCTTTGGCCGTCTGGCAGAGCTTGAGGTTGATCCTCACGTAACACACCAAGATGATGCCCACGGGAAGGAAGAAGCCGAGCACGCAGGCCCCCAGGAGCAGGTAGGGCAGCTTGGGAATCTCCTCGAAGTTGAAATATTCCATGCACGTCAGCTTGTCCCCCATCCTCCGTGTCATGGGCCGCAGAAGCAGCGGCGCTGTCTGCAGGAACACCAAGGACCAGATGAGGATGCAGACGCCCCTGGCACGGCTCATCTTCCGGATTCTACCGGGGTGCCTGGTGCGCACCACGGCGATGTAGCGATCCACACTCACGCAGGTCATGAAGTAGATGCCCACGTAGGTGTTCATGTAGAAAATGAAGGCTGTGGCCCGGCAAAACCAGTCCCCGAAGGGCCAGTCAAACTCCAAGATGTAGTAGGCGATCCTGCCCGGCAGTGCCAGGGTGAAGAGGGCATCAGAGAGGGCCAAGTTCACCAGGTAGAGGTCTGTGGAGTTGAGTTTCTTTTTCCTGCGCTGGAAGGTGATGCAGAGGGCCAGGATGTTCCCGCAGGCGCCAAACAGCAGCAGGGCGGTGTAGAAGAGGGAGAAGGTGACTTTGGCGGAGAAGTGGTGGTTGTGCACGTTGCAGCTGCTCTGGTTGCTGGAGGTGAGGTTGGCGGGCGGGAACACGGCCTCCGCAACAGCCATTTCCGCGGCGCCTCACGAGCTCGCGCCCTCTCCCTTGGAATAAGAACAGACATGAAACTTGCAGCTTATCGATAGCGGGAGCAGCACCCATAGGGCCTGTGAAAGGCCTGTCCCCTGCTCCCTGCCACCCCCCTGGCAGCACACAGCTCGAGTCATTTGGAAAAACGCATCTCTTGTGATTTCGGTGCGAGCGACTCAACAAAGGCTGTGACTCATTGTCGTCTTCTTGTCACCAACTCCTCTTATTTTTGTGTTTTTGCACGTCCAATCAATACCAGAAAGGACTTGGGGGGCGGGGGAGG